TGCTAAAACCACTAGATTCTAGTTTCTCCAAGGTGCGTATGGTTCTCGGGATTCAAACTGCCAGGGCAGCACAATTTTCAGCCTTTGCCTAGCACTACATTAAACTCACGAGTTGGGCCTCACCTCAAATTTGCCCTCTACTTTGTCATAATAGAAAATAACCAGCCTGGTGTCATACACAAAGCCACATATTTAACCTCAAACTCTCCCTGATACACACAGCTCACAGCAACCAAACAATTTACCACATTACTTTTGAGGGGGGCAATAGCCTGTGTCCCCCAAGTGATTAATCCTCCTGCCTTCCTGCCCTTGTCAAGAATGGACAAATTCCCCAGAATATGTGTGAACTGTAAATACTTGTCACACAATTTTTCCATCATTCAGAAACCTAGGCTTCAAATCATTTGATAATCTTTAGATGACAGTAGTAGAAAATCAGCCTGTCTATGTGAGGGTAGAGATTATAGAATGGATCAATTTTTTAAAAATAGCCAAATAAATTATTCATTATTTTTCGTGATTCAATTAAACTCTTTATATCATTGAACCATTAAATGCTCTAACTTCTGAAATGAACATAGAAATTTCCATAATAGATGAGGTTTCTTTCCAAAGAATGTATTTTGCAAAATTTAATAAGTTTTGGTAATTTATCCAGTCAACACATTTTTATCAGTTTTGGATTCATTCTAATCACAAGCTGAGAATACCTCACTTAAAAGGCAACTTCACTTAAACTATTATTGTTAGTCTATCAAACACTGGAAAATGAGCATGTTTTCTTTGTTCATTTGAGATTTTATGAATTTTTGCATATTCCCTTTTTTTTGAGGAAGATTAGCCCTGAGCTAATATCCATGCCCATCTTCCTCTACTTTATATGTGAGACACCTGCCACAGCATGGCTTGATAAGTGGTGGGTAGGGCTGCGTCCAAGATCCAAAGTGGCAAACCCCAGGCTGCCAAAGCAGAGCATGTGAACTTAACTGCTGCGCCACTGGGCAGGTCCCTGCATATTCCATTTTTATGTAGCATTTTACCGTGCAAATTTGATTTGCTGCCCCTGGATTCCTTTTATTTTCATCTTCATGTTAATGTCAATAGAGGGATGTGAATATGATAAAACAAATGGACTATAAAATGTTTCTATATAGTGTTTACAACACTGGATATCTTTATTTCTCATTTCACTTTACCTAGAAAGTAACAGTCGTCTGATTTTGCATCCCAATGCATGGGAGCAAAAAGAAAATAAATTTATGTCAAAATGTGATAAAAAGTACAAGAAGGAACACAAGGAAAATTAGAAAATATCATGACAAGTGAAAATGAAAACAGAAAATACTAAAACGTATAAGATAGAGTGAAAGTAGTGTTAAGAGGGAAATTTACAGCTGTAAAGGCTTACATTAAAAAAAGAAGAAATAGGGGGCCAGCCCTGTGGCCTAGTGGTTAAGTTTGTTGTGCTCTGCTTCAGCATCCTAGTTTTGGTTCCCAGACACGGATCAATACCACTGGTTGGAGGCCATACTGTGGTGGCAACCTGCACACAAAATAGAGGAAGACTGGCATAAATGTTACATCAGGATGAATCTTCTTCAAGCAAAGAAAGAAAATTGGCAAGAGATGTTAGCTCAGAGTGAATCTTCCTCAAGAACAACAAAAAAGAAACATTTGAAATGAACAACCTAACTTTATACCTTAAGGAACTAGAAAAAGAAAAGCAAACTAAACTCATAGTTAGTAGATGGAAGGAAATAATAAATACTAGAGCAGAAATAAAGGAAATAGAGAATGGAAAAATAATAGAAAAAAATCAATGAAACTAAGAGTCGGTGTTTTGAAAAGATCAATAAAACTAACAAACCCTTAATGATGCTAACTAAAAAAAAGAAGACCCAAATAAGAAACATCAAAAATGAAAGAGGAGACATTACGACTAATATCACAGAAACACGAAGGGGCATAAAAGAGTACTATGAACTGTCATACACCGACAAATTGAAACATACAACCTACCAAGACTGAATCATGAAGAAATAAAATATCTGAACAGATCCATAATGAGCAAGGAGATTGACTCAGTAATCAAAACCTCCCAACAAAGAAAGCCCAGTAGTAGATGGCTTCACTGGAGAATTCTACCAAACATTTAACAAATTAACACCAATCCATCTCAAACTCTTCCAAAAAATTGAAGGAGAGAGAACACTTCCAAATTCATTTTATGAGGTGAGCATTACCCTGATATTAAAACCAGAAAAAAATACTACAAGAAAAAAATTGATGCAAAAATCCACGAAAAACTACTAGCAAACCAAATTCAGCAGCAGATTAATAGAACTTTACACCATGACCTAGTTAGATTTATTCCTGGAAGGCAAAGATGTTTCAACATACAAAAATCAATCAATGTAATACACCCCATTGACAAAAATGAAAGGAAAAAAACATGCCTTCATCTCAATAGATGCAGAAACAGCATTTGGCAAGTTCCAACACTTTTTTATAATAAAAACAGTCAGCAAACTAGGAATAGAAGGAAATTGCCTCAACATAATAAAGACCATGTATGAAAAACCCACAGCTAACATTGTACTCAATGGTGACAAACTGAAATCTTTTCCACTAAGAAAGGGAACAAAGCAAGGATGCCACCCTCATACTTCTATTCAACATGGTACTTGAACTCTTAGCCAGAGCAATTAGGCAAGAAAAATAAGGCATCCAAATTGGAAAAGAAGTAAATTTCTCTCTGTTCTCAGATGACATAATCTTATATGTAGAAAACACTAAAGATTCTACACACACACAAGCACAGAGAGTTTTAGAACTAATAAATAATTCAGCAACCTTTCAGGAGACAAAATAAACACACAAAAATCAGTTGTATTTCTGTACACTTACAATGAACAATCCAAAAAGGAAATTAAGACAATAATCCCATTTACGATATCATCAAAAGGAAACAATACTTAGGAATACACTTAAGCAAGGAGGCAAAAGACTTGCATACTGAAAACTATCAAACACTGCTGAAAGAAATTAAAGAGAGAAAAAAATGGAATGACATCCCGTGTTCCTGGATTAGAGGTGATATTGTCAAGATGTTTATACTGCCAAAAGTGATATACTGATTCAAAGCAGCTTAAATTCATTTTTGTAGGTGGATCTTGAGTGTAATGGCAATTACCTGCCCTTATCCTGTGATTCTTTGGGAACTCCTCACAAAAAGTGACAAGTGATCATTTGTTTCCTGTTATCTTCATCCATTTCCATGGGATAGCAGCCTCCATTTAAGTTTGAGTACCAAACTGTGGTATATAATAATTGGAGCACTACTTCAGGTCAAAAACCCAGAGTTTGGATTATGAATTTTGGTCTGCTGTGTTTGCCTGCTAATCTCCTCACTCTTCTTTATACACTAACATGGATATATTCCCTCTTCTAGCTTCCAGGGCTGTAGCTTTTAATGGCTGGCCCTATTATCTCCTTAAATACTTCCCCACAAGTCTATGAGATACCTGTGGGCAGAGAAATTATCTTACCCAACCTTGTTTCCTATCCATTTTGCCCAGTCCTTACCACCTCAGGAGCTCAATCAATGTACATGAACAGAATAACCATGGTAATAATAGGAAAAAGAATAACACCACAACATACAAAATAGCTATGATTTGAGAGGACATCTTTTTTTTGTTTTTTTTTTGAGGAAGATTAGTCCTGAGCTAACATCCACTGCCAATCCTCCTCTTTTTGCTGAAGAAGACTGGCCCTGAGCCTACATCTGTACCCCTCTTCCTCTACTTTATATGTGGGACACCTGCCACAGCATGACTTGACAAATGGTACATAGGTCTGCGCCTGGGATCCAAACTGGCGAACCCCGGGCCACCAAAGTGGAACATGCAAACTTAATCACTGCACCACCAGACTGGCCCAGGACAATACATCTTAAGTTTTCTTTTCTTTCTTTCTTTCTTTTTTTGCTGAGGAAGATTTGCCTTGAGCTAAAAACTGTGCCAATCTTCCTCCATTGTGTTTGTGGGTCGCCAACACACCATGCATGCTGACCAATGGTGTAGGTCCACTCCTAGGAGCCGAACCTGGACTGCTGAAGCGGAGCATGCCAAACTTAACCACCAGGTCATGAGGCCAGCCCTCTTCTTCAGATATTCCTTAAATTCCTCATGGTTCTACAAGAGAAGTTATAATCGAACATTGCGTGAAGCATTTTTTCACAAAAATACTTTTCCTTTTTCTCTTTTTTTTTATGAAGTGTGTGCAGCAAACACATTGGTTATTTTTTACTCCTACAAAAAGCATTAATAGAAATCGTGTAAAAATAGTGAAGAGTGGTCTTCTTCACTGAACTTGTCTCCTCTTCCATTAGTCACCCGATTGAAGTCTATTTCCTAACTTCTTTGCACTTAACCCATGAGAATAACTTCAGGCCAACTAGTGTGAGCAGAAGTGATATTGCCCTGTTTGGTCCTAGCCCTTGAAAACATCCCATGTGATCCACCTTACTTTTTCTCTTTACAACTGAGTGGAATAGACTCAAGTACCACAGACTTGGAGTCACATGTTGAATATGGCAAAGTCATGAAATAGAGGGTATCCATGTTACTGAATCACTTTTGGAGAACAGCCAACCAGAAGATTCCTCTGATCAGGAATGCCTGCATTGTGCTCTTATAAGAAGGAAAGATAAATTTCTATTATGATCAAATTACAGATAGTTTTTGTTTGTCTGTTACACCTGCCAGCATTTACCTGACAGATGTCATTAACAACATACTATCCTGTAGGAAATTTCCATAAAAAATTGGACTTTACATTTTAGAAACAGCAAATACGCTCAAAAAGCTTAAACAGATTTTAAAAAATTGTCATAAAATTATTTATTTAAAAAAGTAGATCATGCACTCCTCTCCAAACTTATTTTTGTAAATCATGATGTACAGTATATTTTTTAAATAATTCCGTGAGTTCGGTTTCAGATATTTCTCAAAGGGTGCAGAAATATGAGTTGAGATTATTTGGGGGGTGGGCTTAGCAAACAATGTAAATGATCAGAGAGCGGATAAGTATAACTTTCTTCTTTATTTGCCGACTTTTCTCTGAGTATTGCTACATGAGGGAAAGGCACACTTCCATTTCCCCTCTGACAACTTCCCAGGCACAGGGGCTGAATGCCTTTTCCTTCAGATAGTGATTGATTTTTTGGAAGTAATTCCGGGCAACAGTTCCCAAATAGGGACAAGCCAGGTTTTCTTCTTCCAGCTGCTCCAGGCTGTGATGAAGCCTAGAGAGTAGTTGATCCAGGAGGGCGTTGTTCCAAGCAGCACGGCTGTCGTCTGTGTTGAAGAGGTTGATGATCTCCTGGAGCATCACATAGTGGAAACAGGTGCCCTGCGTCTTCCGGATTTGGGTGATAGTCTCGCTTTCCCAAGGAAATTTGAAGTAGGTTCCGTCGTTCAGGCATGACTTAGAGTGGATTTTTTCCAGCTGTCTCAACAGCATGAAGATCTCCCTGTTTTTTAGGCTATGGATCCAAGGCGAGTCCCTGCCAAGAGAGCAGGCAAGGATGGAGCAGAGCATCACTCCTGCCACTAGCAAATGGATCTGGGCCATTGAGAATTCCGGTGATTCACTGCACGGCCGCCAGGGGGCGCGCAGGGCACCGCTGAACAACTAGCGCAGTTTCCTTCGCGGGCTCCCCGGAAAGCGGGATTCCCTGGGCGGCCGCTAGAGGGCGTGCAGGGGGCCTTTCCTGACGCCGGGCGCTCCGAGGCGCGGACTTGGTCGGTTTCAGTCGTTCGGGCCGCTGGAGGGGGTGTGCGTCGCAGCCTTGGGAGCCAACTTCGTGCCTCTTTAATAGTGCACGAGACACCTTCCTCTCCGCGGCCCTACTGCTGCGCGGAGAGCTTGGCCGCGGCCTCGCCGGGGACGCGTTTCTCAGGGAGAGAGCACCGAACCCGGCATTTTCTGCACTTGCCCCTGAGTTTTGCGCTTTCCTTTCGCACAGAAACTTCGGCGAGGCCATTTTTACAAAGAAGCCGTTTCTTGAGGGTCTGAGGCCGGAATCCGAGCGTGTTGAGTGGTTTTTACAGATTCGGGAGCGTTTGTGGGCGAGATGCGGCGACAGATGCGGAGAAAGGGGACGGCGGGGACGTGGGCCGCGAGCGGACGGTGTTGGGGACCCGCGGGGGTGAGTCGGGCGCGGCGCCCCTGGGTCCGAGGCGGGGAAGGTGCCCCCCACGTGCTCGGGGACTTTCCTGGTGACTTTCCAGCGTGACAGCGGGAAGGTGGAGGAGGACAGTACTGAGAAACTGAAAACCTGGAATATTGAAACTGCTTTTTATTAAGCTGCTTTTGATATTAAAATATTTTAATATTAACCATAAATATCAAACGTGAAATTTAGAAATATTTTCAACATTGAAATTGACAGCATTTAATTAAATTTTTATATTTTATAATTATTATTAATTATTTTTATTATTAATAATATATATTATTATATATTATATATTGTTATATATTATATATAGTAATATATTAATTATTATTAATTAAAATATAATGTATAATTATATTATAATATAATTAAAAATATTTTATAATTAAATATAAATATAAAAAAATTTAAATATTGTTAACATTAAAACTGTTAAAACAGCATTTTATTCAACTTCACCTATTTATTTAAACTATATTTTATTTTACCAAAACAATTTAATATAATTTTGCTTTCCTCGCTTTAATGGAAGTAAACTGAATAATATTTTTTCAAGATTACTTCTTTACTTTTTTTAAATTGAGAATTGCCATGTTTGACACTTTCTCCTGATTCCGTGAGAATCTTAAATAATTTTTATTTAACTTCACGTTGCTCAAACGACTTTCACAGGACTCCGCCTTCACTGTGTTGTTCAAAGGAAGTTAGTGCTGTGTACAGGCCGTGGAGGACATTGAACAGGTCAGATCTTCAATTTTCTTTGGTATGAATTTTATAGACTGAATGGAATTTGCCTAAATTTCCTTTGCATGGAGCCCCCCCTTCCTTTGTAAGACACTCCCAGCCTTGCCAGTGCAGGGTCCTTTCTTGTCTGTATTTAAAATTTTGATATTTTGTTCATCATGGGTGTTTTGGCATTAGTTTTCCTTTTTAATCTTGTGTTAAAATATTATTTATCTTGAGTACTTAGATTTGGTGTCTCCTTAACTTCCATGCTTGAGGGAAGTACTCCCTCACTTTAGCCGAATGCTAACCCAGGAAACAGCTTGTGAATTAGTGTTGTGAGCTTCCCTGGCTGGAAACCTAGCAATGTCCCATTTCTTGTCACTCTCTCCCCCATATTTCTTTTAATCAGTTTCCTGGACTTTGCAACTTTTTTTTTTTAACTGGTCCCTTAAGAAATATCGCCAGAGGGGGTGTGAAGGGAGCTGAGGCCGAGGGAGGGGACTATTTGGCTCATTTCTACTGGTCGCCGAGCAGCCACGTGGGCTCAGACGACCCTCCTCGGGCTGGTTCTCTGCGGAGAGCCTCAGGCGCGCCGGCTGCTTCTCTCCTTCAAGCGCCGGGCGCCGACCCGAGGGTGGAGACTTGGGCTCTGCTCCTTCACAGCCCTGCAGACGGTCCCCTCGCCGGGGGGGTTTCTTTGGAGCCTCGACACGCAGCCCCCCGAGAGTTAGGGGAGCCGCCGTCAGAGCCCCCTGCCGGCCGCGCCGGGCTGTGCAGACGCGTGTGAGTCCCGTGAACACTGGCAGCGCGCGTTCACCAGGTTCAGATTCGCAGCCTGTCCTTTGCCCACTTTATTTTGCTTCATCTTTACAATTTCCTGTGTGACCACTACTGAAGTCGTCTCACTTCTTTAGAAGAGGACATGGAAATCTGATGTCCTTTACACTCAGGGGCCGCAGGTTTTGTCAGAACGTGGAGCCTTCTGCTGCGTCCGAGTCCCTCCTGTTCCTCGGCTCTGAGGACTCGCTCGGAGCCGCGCTGAGCGTGCTGCTGCTTCCCGAGTCCTAATCCTGCCTCCAGTGTCCGTCTGCCCTGCTCCCTGGAGGACAGTCACCAGCCCTGTCTTCCTTTCCCTGAAGCCACGCCGCCAAGCACATATCTGTCACTGTGTGCAGTGAGCACATTTCTGGTGACAGCATGACGGGAACTGCATGAATTAACCCTTGGTGTTCCGATTTTATGCCACTATTCTCTGTGGATTTTGTCTGAACGCATTAACTATGGCTCCACCCGGGCGCGCACAGACGCAGAGGCCAGGCTCTAGGGTCGGGGCTGGGGCCGGGAGACCCCCGAGGACCAGGTCCCCTCCCCGGGGAGGCCGACCGACCCTGGGTTCCCAGGAGGTCCCCGCAGCCCCGGGGCCTTCCGCTGTCTGCCCGCCTTCCTCCAGCGCCCGAGTCCGTTCTCCCGCCGTCTGGTCCCCGCTGTGGACGGCGGGGCGTGGCCTGGGGCTTTGGGATCCACAGCGATTTTCTCCCCACAGGCCCACCCTTCTCGCGGCGAAGACTGAGCCTGCGGCCCCCAGGTCCACAGTAGCTAACATCGCCTGACTCTTCCCAGCCTTGGCCTACAGGGCCCCCACCCGCCCTCCCCAGGCAAAAAGAAAGTCGGGGGCGGGGTGGGGATGGCGTGAAGTGACCTGGGGGAAGAAAGAGAAAGAGGGGGAGAGGGGAGGGGGGAGGGGGGCGGGGGAGACGGAGCTGGTGAGGTCACTTTGGTTCTAAGGGAGGCTCCACCACCCCTAACCAGTTAGGTCAGCAATTTCTATTTTCTGTTCCTTCTCTTTTAGTGTGCTTCTATCACTTAGGACTGAAATAAACATGACTACAATTGCCTAGTTTTTCGCCATCCTTATTTTGCTGACATACATTCTGCTTAGTCCAGATTGTAGTACATTTTTAACAAACCGCCGGATTGCACTCACTAATAATATTGCTTTTAGTTCGTAAACGAGATGGTGCTAACTTTTCATTTGTTCCATTTTGCTGTCGGGGTTGTGGTAACTTCACATAATGACTTGGGAGGCGTCACAGCTTTGCCCATGCTCCAGAACAGTTTATGCAGCGGAAATCCTCTCTGACTGAAAGCTCTAGCCCTGCCGTCTTTTGTGTGCCTGTGTGTCGAGGGGAGGGAGGGGTTGGGATTTTACTACTTTCTGTGACATCAAACGATTATTCGCATATTCAAAGAAAATTATTTTATCTAACTTTAAAATTTATTGGTGTAAAGTTGGGTATCTTTGTTTCTCCTTAAAAGTTAAAAATAACTTTAGGGCCGCTGGGTGGGGCAGTGGTTACGTTCGCAGGTTCTGCTTTGGCAGCCCGGGGTTCCCGAGTTCGGATCCAGGGTGCGGACATGGTACCGCTTGTCAAGCCATGCTGTGGTAGGCATGCCGCATATAAAGTAGAGGAAGATTGGCACAATGTTAGCTCAAGGCCAGTCTTACTCAGCAAAAAGAGGAGGACTGGCAGCAGATGTTAGCTCGGGGCTAATCTTCCTCAAAAAAAAAAAATTAAAAATAACTTCTCTGCATCTATAAATGTTTTCTTTTTTATTCCAAAAGTATTTTTACCCTTTTCTGTGAATTAGTTTCGCTTGTTTTTTCTATTCTACTGATCTTTTAAAGAAACACCTTTTGATTTTTTTTAAAATCAAGGCTATTGCTTTTTGTTTTGTTTTCAGGTTCATTTCTGATTTTGTAATTATTAATTCCTTATTTCTACTTTATTTTTGTTAGTGTTCTTTTCTCAGCTTCTTGAATTGAATGCTTAATTCACTTATTCATAATCTCTTTTTTATTAAATAAATACACAATTAGAAATTTTCTAGTAAATATACATTTGACCATACCCCACATGTTCTTTTCATATGTTGTGCTTTGTTATTTTGTTATTAATTTGTAACTAATTTGTCATTCCTATTTTTGTTTCTTCCTTAAGTGAAAAATTCAAAAACAATCACTAAAGTTTTCTTATTTTTTCTCCTTTAATATTTTCTGATTTTCTCCCCAATCCCAGCACTGGTGCCAGGAGCTCAATCCAGGTTGAATAGTCACTTTGTTTACAAAGTGGTCCTGGGATGTTATACCGGGACCATAGCCTCTGCCATTCCCTTACTGTCTGCAGGCAGGGGAAAGGACCTGCCTGGCCCTGCTATTCTGACTGAAATTCCTGAGTGAATTATTATTACCACTTGTTTCTGCTCCTTGTGTTAGTTGACTCAGGTAGAGTATGTTACAGTAAATATTTGCTGTGTTACAAATTTGTCGTAAAATGTCATAGCTTAAAACAAACATTTTCTTATGCTCACAGACTCTGTGGATTAGGAATGTGGGCAGAGTGCAGCGGGAATGGCCTGTCTGTTCCACACTGTCTCAGATTTCATCTGGGAAGAGGCTTGGGGTGATTTTGATGTTTGGGGGCTGGAATATGTGGATAATAATTTGGATTTTTCTTTCCTCAGATGTATGGTGGCCGTTGATGTCTGTCAGCTGGGACCTCAGCTGGGGCTGTGGACAGCAGCACCTTCCCAAGGCCTCTCCATGTTGTCTGGGCTGCTTCACTGCATAACGTCCTCCCGGTGATCTCGCTTCTCTTAAATGGTTCAG